ATATAAAATTACTAAATATTAAAACAAAAATATTAACAAAAATTATTGAATCACTATTTTTGGGGAATTTCTCAGAAAGCTAAGCAAAAAAACATAAAGAATTTATTACAACATAATTACAATAAAAGTCAAAATTCAATCAAATATTCATCATATTCTTCGCTAAGATTACATAATCTTCATCTCAAATGTCATTTGAAAGTAAAGTGAAAAATATAGTGATTATGAGAGGTATGGGGACAGCGAGGGCTCACCGATGGGTCACTCCATTCATTGCGATGAAGTACTGGCGCTAACCTTGAGATGTACTAATTGTTTGTCACAATCAAAAGTTACATGAATTTCTTATGAATGAAAAACAAGACTTTGTGTTTGTTATCCTTGAAAAATGTGCTGGCGTTTTATTAAATCATATGAAGCGTCGATTTTTGTCAGTATTTAGAAAAATAAATTTAAATTAATTCAGAAAACGGATCTGAAAAATGTATATAAATGTCAATCAGGTGTAATGGGATTGTATTTAAAGTTTCGCACTTTCGCCAAAAGTTTGCAAACAATTGTTCAGTCTTTCACTTAAATACATACAATGAATGCAAACTTTGTTATCGTTATTGTGGCACTTGGTATGACTTTAATTATTTAAAAATTATGCTTATTTTGATGAATAAAAATACAAAATTGATTTCAATTTGTAAGGCTTGTGTGAACTGGTGGCCGGCGCTCCGCAAACAGCGGCCAAACCGATAGCAACGGCTAAGAAGAACTGCCCGAACGAGTCATTGCGTGAGAATTGTGTCAATTCCTTGTTCATCATCGGCTCTCCCGACAAACACTTCCCCAACTCTACCGAACAATTGACCGCTTTTTGCGGCAAACTTAAGGAAACCGATAAATGCATCAAAGATTACACGTCCAGATGTATGACTCCTATGGGAAAGAGAGCGACCGAAGTGGCCGTCGCCGGTATCGCACGACTACTCAAACGCATGTGTAGGTCAGCTGAAAAGAGGAAAGGTATGCTATATTGTAATATATTTTTAATTTCACTTTTATTAATAAAGATTTCATTTGTATAGAGTTTGTGAAGAACGCCGGATGTGGTAATGCAGTGATCGGTGACATGAGGTCGTGTCTCAACGACTATAAGATGGCATTATATGGCGCACAGAAGGCTGAGCTCAACCAAAAGCTACCGATCCTTTGCTGGTAATAGTCTAGAACATGAATTTCTATTAAACTATTGAGAAATAGTGTATTAAATATAAATTTGAATATACATGTTATCAGCAAATTCTATGACTTCCGGAGCTGTGTCCGCACGGGTATGGACAAAGTGGGCGCCGAAGTGTGTCCGGAGTCGTCCCGTAATTACTTCCATCACATCGCCGATGCCTTCCAGTCCGATGTGTTTGATCTGATTTGCAGTAATTATGACGAGTCGTCCGATAAGTGCTCGGCTGTTGTCGTACCACAAGTAGAGGCATCTCAAGAGACCCGATCGCTATTGAAACCGCTGAGGAATGTCTTGAAAAGCGTTCTCGAGGCCGACAGCTCTTAAGATAATCCCTAACAAAATACTTTACCAACGATGGCCAAAAATATAAACAATTTTTTTGTTATATTAGACAATGAAGTACACGATTCTGTTAAAATTAATTCATTGTATAAAATAATTTTATTTTTTTAACTAAACATCGTATAATTTGATAATTTTTGATACTATTTCTTAAGTAAATAATGTCACAAAGTTCTCAAAAATAAAACTGAAAGCATTATGTAATAAATTTTTAAAAATAAATTTATTATAATTATGATACATGGTTATATAATACTATACAGTGTAATGCAATTTTTTTCAAGTATCGATCCACTGTTTTAAGAGCAAATTCTTAATCATTTGTTTTCATCAAAAATCTCACTTTCATTTATA